CTGATCGACCAAATTCCACCAGGGCCAATCGGTTGGGATCTCTGCGACACCGATAGTAGTGAGGGTAATTCTGTTGGGAGTGACGAAGGCGAAGGAAAGGGAAAGGGAAGAAAGGAGGACGAAGACGACGATGGAGCAGGAAAACATGGAGGAGTGGAAGAGAGCAAAGGGTTTGAGCCAGATGACCTTCCCCACAACAAGAAACGTAGGGATAGGGAAGGACTGCCCAGAGATTCTTCTTGTCGAAATGAGGATCAGAATGATGGTAGCGAAAACAAGGAGGACACTGGTGAAAGTACTCCTAAACGAACTCGAGTACTAGGTAATAGCCTTGGTAGACGCGTGCATTTTTCGTCTGTTGCTGCTGTTTCTGTTTTTAATCCGAAGGATAGTTTAGCCTCCCCCATGCTGCCCCCTCACGGGGTCCCAGTTCATGGTAGATAGAAGTGTTTTGTGTTTTCAACCGCACTAAGGCTGACGTCTTTTCATTGGTCAGCCGGTTAGCGCGGTCGATGCTAATAATAAACGCACACACACCAGAGGCACACACACACACACACCCTTTACGCACGCTACGAAAGGCGCACACGCGCTCCGGGCACATGGTTCGCCCAAGAAAGGGAAAGCGCAAGCGGGCAAGGAATGTTCGTGGGTCTACGGACATGGATACATTACCCGTACGTACAAGTGTGACGCAGATGGTGTAGAACCTTTAAGGTAGGGGTACGGCGATGAAGCACCGGGATTCCCTTTGTTGAGTGCAGCAGCCGTGCTGCTACTCTCTCTCTCTCTCTCTCTCCTCCTCCTTTCCGAGCACGACAGCGTCCTGGGTACGGGCGTTGTCTAACCGTCTGAAGTTGATACACTACACAAACAAGTCCCGATAAGTACGCGGAGTACGGCCGACAAAGACTCGAGAGTTTATTTGTCCCTCGAGGGATAGCCGCATCGGGTGATGTCTACGTCGGACAGCGGTTCCGTCGGAGGGCTGGGGGAAGAGACCTCAGCCACGCAACAGCAACACGCCGAGGATCCGGCGATTGCGAGGCTGGAGGGCCAGCTATCGCAGCTGATGAGCGTCGTGATGGAGTTGAAGAGGAAGGAGCCTGGTGACGCCGTGGCGGGCGATGCCAGTAGGGGCGGCGGTGCTGCCGTCCCAAGCCAGAGAGAGGCTCTGCAGCCCGGGGGCGGCGGGGCATTTCCGTGGGAAACGGCTCGTGATGGGCGAAAATACCCGCGGGAAAGCAGCTGGGACAACATACCGGGAGCGAGTCCTCGGGTTCCAGCGAGAGTGGCGGCTGGCTGGGCAAGTAGATCGGGAGCGAATCCTGAGTGGCCAGCCGGAATGAGCCCGGGCGTAGGACCGGACCGCGGGGAAGCGAGGGGGTTAACCCCCCAAGGTGAGCAAACCGCAATTCGAGGGGCCAGAGCATTTTTCGATGGGTACAGCAGCAGTAGCCAAAAAAGTGTTACGGTCAATGCACCGCGTCTCGAAGGGGAGAGTCGCGGCCACGGGTACGACTCGTGGAGAAAGGCACTTATTCAAGCCGCGAAAACCGTAGGCTTGGACGGGCAGCTTGTCGGCAACGCCGAGAGGCACGCACCCGTCGGTGACCCAAACAGGCCTAGCTCGGAGCTGTATAGCTTGGGCTACACAAGTGATGAGGTTCAGAGGGGCCTCCAGGCGTTCCACTTTGTGACTACAGCCATCGTCCGAGAAGCCGACAAGGCAATCGTGAATAAATGCGAGACC